TGACAATAGGAGGGGAAGAGTTACCACCAGGGTGAGTCTTGAATATTAAGCACATGTTAATCAGGCAAGTCAGGAGGGGTCAGAGTGGGGAGGGGAAAAGACAGTCCATTCTATTCCAGGAAGAGGAAACAGCTTGTGTGAACACGGAGAGCCTGACAGAGCTTGTACCATTTGGATTCCTACCAATAATTCAACATAGCAGAAGTAAGGCACTTCCTAATTTTCAAAATGCTGTCTCACGTATTTTTTTCATTAGATCTTTGCAGACATGTGAGGAAGGAAGGACTCATTATGCCCATTTAATGAATGAGAGTGTGGAAAAAGGGCTGAGATTCATGACTAGTCTAAGGTCACAAGATCAGTAAGGCTCTGCTTGGAAGAGAGCCCAGACCTCTGGAGTCCCATTTGGATTGTCTCTGGAAAGATCTGATAGAGCAAGCTTGTCGTGCTCAGTGGGGAAGCTTGAGACCTTTTTACTTCTATGAAAAAGTTCAACACATGAATAAGTTATGGGATAGCCACGTGACTCCACACCTACGACAATTCTAGTTTCCAAGTGGTCCTTTCCGGATTACTAACCTGGCACCTAGTGAAGAAAATCTGAGATAGCCCAGAAGAGCACATTAAAATGAGGGAATCTCAGAGGCACCGAATTAAATGTTAATTCAGTCATTTATGATTTACAAAGCTCTCAAAGAGGCTCGGAGTTTAGGCTTTATAGCAGGTGGCAGCACATTGGTTCTGTTTTAAGCCCCTTTCTACCACCATGCAGGTGACTTGGGTAGAGAGTTTGAAACACACTCATTTTTTAAATTTCTCTTTAGAACAAATACAGCACACTCAGCTGTAATTGTGTGTGCTGTGTGTGTATAAGAAGCTTGTCAGGGTGCGTAAAGGAAAAACATAATTGCTCTATTCCGGGCAGTGCCATACAGGGACAAAGTGATTTAAGTTTAAAATACACATCCGCAAGGTGGTAACATGTAAAGCCCATCTTGGTGACTAGTGTGGGACAGTTTGGACAGGCAGGCCAGTGTCATTTCTTTCGGTCTTAGTCATCCGGAGCTGAGGATGTCAAATGAGGAAGAGCCAGAGAAATTGGAGGCGAGGAAGGGAGGCTTCACAAAGGTGAAGCATTTTGCCTAAGGCCACAGAGCAAAGCCAGGAGCGGAGAGCAGGGCTGGCAGCCAGGCCCATTCATAGTCCAGTTTCAAACTTCTCTCCCACATTGTCCGACTGGGTTCTGTGAGCGAAAAGGGGCCACATACTAAACCTGACAAGCTCGGGGAGGCCTGCGTGGCCGCCTTGCAAACTCAGACCTAAAGAAACCACAAAGGGTGGTCTGAAATGCAAACTTTTTTCAACTTAAGCGGTTTGTGGCAGGTAGTCACGCCCTGAGGCGGTATTTTTCCTTCACAAAGGTTAATTTGCACTTTAACTAAGCCTATGGATTGTCTTTTGCATCTGACATTCAATGCCTGATTAACGCAGGCCTTTGCAAAACAAAGTAATTTCCCCCTTTTCGGGGGCCCTCAGTGCTCCAGGGCGGAGACCAGGTATCCTCTCATTGTTATTGATACCTAGTTAACTGTTGACTGTTAACTGTTCTGCACCCGCCTCTGTAAAAGTGTGTGTCTATCACTTTTTATCCAATCCCAGAGGTTTCCCCCTTTGCTTCGTGGCACCTCCCTAATCTACCACCAACGGATTTCCTGTAACCCACTTAGGGCTCCCCCTTTGATTGTAATCTGTAAAGCAGGTGCAAAACTGCCATGCTCAGGAGCATTATTTCAGTCCATTGAGATTTTGGCTCCCCCGCCATATGCTGACAGTTTGGCTCAAATAAGCTCACAAGAAATTCTTCACAGGTTTGAATGGTTTCTTATGTTAGCGTCACCTATGAATTTAAATGTCCCTTTCCATGCCCAATTTAGATCTGAGCAGCAGCTCTTTCTCCCTGGGTAGGAACAGCTGAGAAACAGCTACAAATGAGCATCCTGGGGGGGGGGAGTGTTTAAATCCTGGGGAGAGCTTAAACTGCCCACTGCCAGCTCTGCCCTGGAGGATTCCGCTCTCCTGGACCTGGGACGCAGCCTGAGAGCCCGTGTGGTCAGGAGACAGCCCTGCTGATCCTCACCGATTTAGGGAATGGTCGCTCTAGATTAAGTCACATGTCCCTTCAGAGCACCTCCCTGTGGCTCTCTGCTCACTTGCCAGCTTTTCCTCCACAGCCTCAGTCACCAAAGGAAAAGCACGGGGAACCACGACGGATGTCCCTGGTTCCTTCCCTTTCAAGTCTGCTCCGGGAGGTGCACTGGGGCTCCCTTTTGTGTCACCTGCACCCACGCCAGCCAGCGTGGAGGGTGGCCCGCAGGTGGCCCATCTCTGCTTCAGCCGCAGTCTCCCCATCATGACCTCATCCCTCACAGCAGGGCAGCGACATCGGGCGTCTGTCCAGCGGGGAGCACAGGGCTGGGAATGCTTACAGACCGCAGCGTTGTGTGGGGTGACTCTTCGATGCGATTTTCACACACATCGTAGTGTTTCAGTGGTTTTCATCTTCACGCTTTATTATTTTGCCTTTTGTTCATTTATTATTATTAGACATCTTTCATCCAAGGGATCCTACATATTTAATTAATAGCGTGTAGAGATATGCTTCAGCAGAGAGACCAGTTTATATATGTATTTTCAGATACAACAGGATCACACCAGGCAGGGAAATAGAACACACCCTGAAATTCATGCTATCACTCCTCTTACGTTTGTAATCTTTTGTTCTCTACAGATCTTTCTATATCAAATTCTTTGTTATATTTTCCATATTCCAAATCCCTTGTTATTGGAAAACTTTCAGGGAAGCTTCCCAGCAGTGTCATTCTGGGCTCTCTTGTATTTTTCAATCCAAGCTCAGGAGGCTGCATATTAGGAGTCTGTAAACTGCCCCCCATAAGAGAAACTGAACTGGACCATCCCTTTGAGCTGACAAGTCACAAAACAGTATCCACGGGACACAAAAGGCTGTCACACGAAGCTCAGGTTCCATAGCCTCCATGTTTCATGTGACCTTGAACAAGGTAATCTGGTGATTTCACTTCTTTAACTATAAACTGGGGCAACAGCGGTGCCTAACTACTCAGAGTTGTGGTGAAGATTAACAGTTACTGAATATGCACAAATCACTTAACAACAGTACAGTGCCTGGCACGGGGTGCACACTGAACAGTCCATGAGCCCTGTATTTACACACATCCTTGGTTACCTCCTTAGGATAAACGCTTGGCAATATAATTGTTAGGTGAGAAGGTGTGTAGATTTTTAATGCTTTTAACACCACTTGTCAAAATACCTACTTGAAGATGAATTAAATCCCCACTACCATATCGCCGGATAGTTGTTTCCCCCCGTCTAATTATGTCACAAAGCATGACAACCAACCACTGCCCAGCAACCACTTACAATTGCCCTGTTTACTCGCTGGCCCAGAATGCAGGCGTGGGGCCTGGTAATCAGTATTTTAAAGGCATTCCCATTTGATTCAATTACTAAATCAATTGTTAAAACCTTAGTTTACCCAACCTTGTTGCAGTATCAACATTTCATACCAGGTTCTTTTTGAAATTCCCCTTCACTTCTAAGCCCTCTCTCCTACCCCTCACCTATTTCTTTTCTTTTTTTTTAATATGTTTTTCCTGATTGTAGAGACAGGTAGGGTAAGGGAGAGGGAAACACTGATGAGAGAGAACCATGGATCCGCCACCTCCCACACTCCCCCTGCGGGGGATCGAGCCCACAACCCGGGCATGTGCCCTGACCTGGAATGGAACTGGCGACTTCTCAGGTGGATGGGGGCACTCAACCAACTGAGCCACACTAGCCAGGGCCCCATCTCCTCTGTCTATGCCAGCTTTTGGTTTTTTCACTTCAAGGAAAAAGAAAACAGATCATCTTATGTCTCTGGAAGTCCAAAGTGGCAGTGGCTTCGGGCATGGTGTCCAATAGAAATATAATGCGAGCCTGGAAGCTAGGGACTAATGTAATGTTAGGGCTCTCCCCCCTCCCCATCATTTATTGGCTCGGTTGCTCCTATTTGGCCTAAGTCTCAGGCAGACTCTGGTAATCAAACCCACTAGCAGCCTCTGACTCACATCCTTGAGGCTTAAGAAGCCCAGGAGGGAAAAAGAAGTGTTTACCTAGAAAAGAAATTTCCCTAGTCCATGACCAATCCAGGGGCAGGAGTTATGTCAATAGGTCCGTTTGTACCTGCCAGTTCCTGCTCAGTTGTCTTCCAATTTCCTTCCTAACAGCTCTCACACCCAATCAGTGACCCACACTGATCGAATCTTCTCAGTTCTCAAATCTGTCCTTCTGTCCTAAGGACTATTGCCCCAGTTCAGACCCTCATCATCTCACCCCAACTATTTCAATAGCTTTCTGTCTGGCCTGCTTCCTACATTCCTGCCCCCCTGGAATCATCCTCCCTGATACCAGGGTTATAGATCCCACTGCAACCCGCCTCCTTGTTTAGTAACGTGAAGTACTGCTCTGCTAAGACATTCAGAACCCCTTAGCCCTCAGAGACCTTCCAGAACCATCTCCTGGTCACCTGTATGACCCAAACCAAACCCATTTGCTGTCTTCCAAACCCTTTCCCAATCTTGGTTAAATGTGTTACACTCATTCGAGTTTGCTTTGGTTTCAGGTGTGAGCTTAAATAATCAACTGCCTTCTCCCTCTCCCAACATATGTCCGCCCACTTTAATTATACAAGTTTTAATTTATAGGATGATCGTTTATTTGTTGAAGAATAAATGTACTCGAAAATTCTAGAAGCCATTACTTTTAAAATAGTGATTTATGTGATATGCATCTTTCTGTGTAATGAAGGCAAATCAGGACAGTTACATTTCAATTCTAATGAACGGATCCGAACTTACCAGGAGAACTAGTCCGGCCAAGTCTTAGCTGTAAAATGGGTATAAACATCTGCCCTTTCTTACCTTACACAGTTGTCCTGAGGGTCTCATAAGAAAATGCAGTTTGACGTCAGGAGAAAAGGCAGTATTCCTACGCACGCTGTAGCAGAATAGCTGTCACAATATTCATGATGGAGCCCAATTCTTTCAATTGAACCTCTCAGCTTCTGTGGTGAGGCCTTAGGGAAGGCTGGAGGTATTGTGACCCCTGCTGTTGAAATGTGAATACATTGGGTTGTTGGTTAAAAAGTCAGTAAGAAGGATACTGGAAACAATGCCTTGTTATAATAAAAGTAAAAATACTAGGCTCAGAAATTTTCAGATCTTCAAAAAGGAAGCAACTGCTTCAATGCCACGAGCATATCTTCCATTTGTGCTGACAATAGGAAGGTAAACAAGAGTGATCCCAATCAGATTTCTTGGTCTTGGACCCTTCTTAAGGGCTTCTCTCTTTTTGGTCTCTTTCCACGTCCTGCTCCCTGGCTCACAGTCTTTGGGCTCCTGGGGCCCTGTCTTGTGTACATTCACTCCTTCCCCCAGGCAAGACATAAAATTCTGGTTAATGTCAGAAACTTCATAATTAATTGATCATTAGCTGAAAGAGATTTCAGAAATTATTAACCAATCTACCATTTAACTTTTAAGCTACTTGTTTCCAGCTGTTTAATAAAAGGCTTTTTTTGGGGGGGGGTGATGGGTGGAAAACATCTTGGTTCTCATTATGGTAAAAGCTATGTATGTCCACGAGAATGGTTCTCAGGTACAGAGGACCTGTCTTATTTTTCTATCTGTAATCCCTAGAATAATGCCAACGGATAACCCACAGTTGATGTCCAACGGATGCTTGTAGAATTGAGTCACCTTGATTTGGATCTCTCAGGCTGACAAGAGAGGTCAGCCAGTGTCCTCAGTCCCCTGAGATCTGTCCTCAGCACAGGTCTCCCAGAAAACACTCCTCAGACCCAGGCTTGGCCACTTGAAGGAACCCAAATCCAACCACCACTTCCCGGACCTCCAAGATGCCCACATGGAGTGTACTCTTGGATTTGGGAACATTAGCTAGTATGCAATGTCTTCATGCTGGTGTCCTGGAATGCATGAATACTATTTCTATATTTCCGCCTCTGGTTCTGAAGTTTCCATTAAAAAAAAAAAAAAGTGCCACCACAAAATACCTCCTTATTTCTTAATGCTGGGTAACAGAAAATACACAAAAGATACAAAATCCATTCTGACCAAGAATGCTTCCCAGCAGTTGTAAAACTTTACATCAACATTTTTGGAGATTATCTTTTGAATTTAACATTTTAAAATATATATATTTTTTAACTTAAAGGAAAATTTTAGGCGTTTCCAAGGAATCAATAATTTCTCACCAATTCAGTACACCATTACACAATTAATCTTTTATTTTTCATTGCACACATCAGTATCTTACAGAAAAAAAAAATAACCTCTTACTGTTAAATTCCAATATTGTTTTCTTCTGATCCTTTTCAAGGTACATAAATATAATCAGTAAATATAATTTATGTTCTAACACTTTTGAGTCTCATTTAAACATTTTCCCATACAATTTTACATATATGAATATCATTTAATGGCTACATAACAGTTTTTGATAGCAATAGCAATACACAAAATCGTATTTAGACATTTCCCAATTACTTGGCTTTTTAAAAAACAACTTAAATGAATGGAAGTACTAGAAATATCTTTATGCAAGTAGTTTACATATGCTTCTCAAGTGAGTTAGATCTATCAAAAGAGAGACTGGTTATAGATCTCTTATATTTTTCTAAATAGTTCTCTTAAAAAACTACTGATATAACAATGCTACTGGTATTAGGAACATGCAGTTGAAACACTTTTGCTATAGCATGAACTAGGTCAAAGTTGTTTCAATTTGCATTGTTTTATATTAGGAGATCTGAATATCATCCTAAGAATTTACTTTTATTTGTATTTTCTCATTTGAATCAATTCTTTCAATAAATTTGCCTAGTAAAGAGTAGAAAACCTGATGGATTTGCACCTCCCTTTTAAAAGATATTAAGCACTTGATTCATATATAATGCACGTAGCTTTTTAAAATCCCATCTCTTCTTCAGTTTTCTTATTTAGTATATTTTCCATTTTGTTTTAGTTAATCTCATCTACCAGTCAATAATGATTTTCAGTGCAATAAAGTTTTTTTTTCTACTGTTATTGGGATGAGAATTGTAGTGCCTTTTTTAACCTTGATACTTAACATTTTAATTCATCTGGAATGAAGTTATTATATAATGTGGGTGTAATTTTTTTTTATACTGACATCCAGCTTGTCTTTCTACCGGCAGTCATGCATTTCCTTCTTTCCAATTGGCTTATTAGTCTGTTAAACTTTCTACTCAGTGCATAGTATATTTAGAAAGGTTGTTTAATAGCACATTTTAAGGATTTGAAGTATGACTCCCATTTTTCCCCTAAGTTTGCCTGTTTATTTTCCTACATAATTTATCACAATTCTGTCATATTATCTAAAGCATCCACTTGGAATGTTAAGTGGCAATGAGGTAAATCCTGCATCCTAACGTCACCTATTGCCTTTCCTTTTTTAGATATTTCATGTACATTAACTTAATCCTCAGAATAATTCTGTGAAGTATTACTTCTATTTTATAGATGCTGAAAGAGAAGCTAGGAGTGATTTTCCCAAGACCATACAACCGGTAATTAGTGAGGTGAGGACTCTAATTTTGGTTTTTGGACTCCCTATTTCCCTCCACCTGCTTCTATCTTTCTTAATTTATCCCAATAGAGTTGTATAACTTTCTTTAGATGGCTCATATATATTAATATCCAAACACTTTTTAAATTTTAGTTTGTCACTGTTGGAATCTAGAAATGAAATTCTTAAAGATTGTATATCCTGCGACTTCCTTAATTATAGTCTTTTATTGTCAGTTTATATATTATTGGGTTCACTAGTTACAAATCCATGTCATAGAAAATATTTTCTTTCCTTGTCTTTCTCATTTTGTGAATGCGCATTAAGGTTTTATTACAAGCTCCTTCAACCACATATAAGTAAAAACGGTGTCAAGACTGTTTGATTTCTGCTTGAGAAATATTTCATATATATTTTCCCAGTAGAAATGCTAGTTCTTGGTTTTAAGTAATTACTTATCACACTATGAGAAACCAACAAAAGCATTACCGGAGATAATTAAAACTAAGATGAATGATAAATGTTATTCAGATGTTTAAAGTAACCTGTATTTAACAGCTTGAATTTTTTACTATTTTGCCCTGTTGAACACTGGCCTTATAATCCTGAGTCATAGTGACTAGTTACAGGCATACCCCACAGATTTCGGTTATACAATAAAGCGAGTATAGTGATAAAGTGAAGTCACACAAATTTTTTGGTTTTCTGGTGCATGTAAGTTATGTTTACACTACACTGTAGTCTATTAAGTGTGCATAGCATGTCTACAGAAATATTTCATTGCTAAAAAATGCAGGTCATAATCTTTTTGCCAGTGGAGGGTCTTACTTTCAATTGGAAAAAAAAAACCACAACCTCTAGAGAGCGCCATAAAGAGAAGCGCAATGAAATGAGGGATGCCTGCACTTTGTTATTACTTGGCAATATTTTGCATGTATTCAGAACGAAATCCTTTTCAAAATGCAAATATCAGCCTATGGTCTTTCAGGACACAGAGATATTTATTCTTTGAACATTTGAAAGCTACACCAATAGGCCCATTAGGGTAGGTTTCCAACTCATCAGGAAATTACAGGTTATAACACTGCCTAGTTTTCCAAGGCTTTGTATTGGTTACTTCTCTCACTTCCGATTTATTTTACATCCAAGTAGAAAGTAGCATACTCATTTTGTTAGTTTTCAAAATCACCTTTATCTTGGATTTGTTTAACACTTTTTTCCTGTTTTGATTATGTCTGTCTCTGTCATCTTTTGGAATTCATTGTTCCTTTCCTCACATTCTTATAATATTTGTGTGGAAACCAAAATTTTTTCAAAAGGTCTGGATGACCTTCACCTCCATCTCATTTATCATCTTAAATACTTTTTCATTTTAATGACTAAGTTTTAGGTCTATTTCAGGCATTTTGGCTGGATTTAAACATTAGGATCCACCATTTGGATTTTTAATGGTGGACTTTTATTAATATTTTTAGATGGTTTTCGACATAGCAAAATACCATTTTATGACTTCTGAAGGTGTAAATTAGTTAAGTCTTTCTCCTTCCATTTTCCTCATACATGGGAGCAGCAAAGACTATTCAGAGCATTTTTTTGGCTTAGTACATCTGTATTGTTTTATGACACGATGTTCAGATCAAAAGATACGTTATTAAAAAGCACTATTTTGTCAAAACTTAGCCAAATTCTGTCTCAGTGAGGTCCACAGCTCTAAGCTAAATTTATTTTTAATTACTCCTAATCTTCCCGCCTTTCTGATTCAGTGATGAGCTTGGAGACCAATTCCTGTCTCCTTTTACTCACCAGCAAAACTAGGCTGACTTTCCTGAGCAGCACTCCTTCTACAGCGCCTGCGCTCTTCGAAGTCGACGTTCGTGGAAAGACTTTGAAATCACGAAAGCCTGGATCCCAATGCTGGCTCTTCCACACACCAGGCTCTGAGCAAATGAGGAATGAAATCTTGATTTCCTCTTTGAAAATGGATCCAATGACACCCGCCTCTCAGGGCTGAGCAGCCGTAATGAGAGAGCATGTAAATGCCCAGCACAGAGTAAAGGCTCATTTAACAGAAACTGTCCCTGCAGGGCTCTCTCCCTACAGAATTCCCATCCTCTGACTGAGGAATGCAATGGGACTAAGAGAGTTGACCTCTTCTGACAGCTCCACAGGCTTTCACCACTGGACTAACAGCTTTATGACTTCTGGTGGTTCTGGAAAAACATGTATTTCAACCTTCTAGATAGATCCCAGTCAAGAGGCAGAGCGATTATGAAGGTAGTTGGGGTGGGCACAACCCAAGGGACGTGGCAAATTCTTCTTACATTTGTTCCTGTCAGTTGCAGTTAGTGCTGCTAATTCCTGTGGTTGAAAGCTGGGCAAATCAACCCCAGGTTAAAATGGACACACAAGGTTTCTCCTTGGGAATTTCACAACAGTCATTCTGAAGTATCTGTTTCCTGGGGCAAGTTTATTTTTTCTTTTTGCCTGAGTTACTGGTCGGAAATTCTTTTCTTTTAGGTGCCAGAGCAGGGGTCTGCAGAAATTTTCTGAAGTATTAAATCAGAACTAATCTTATCCCCTAGATTTTCCGTGACTGAACCTCCTAGGAATGAGCTCTTTGACAAGTAACCGAACTCTCTGGCACTGTTTCTAATGTAGGAGATTGTGGTGGCAACCTTGCCTCCTGGGTTACAGGGGTCCAGTAGAATTCAACAGTAAGACATACTGTAAACATCAGACCTTCACAATAAAGGATCATGCAAAGCTAATCTTTTCATTAGACAAATGTATTTTATATTGGCACTTGTATTAATTGCTATTGCTACCATAAATATGTCTATATTATATACAAAAGACCCACATAATTTGTTGTGTGTGTTTTACTCAGAGGTGCAAATTTAATAGCTGGAAAGTACAATACTCCTTAGACATTGTCATTGTAGAGAAAAAAATCTGAAGATCATCGGCAAATACAGTATTACCTTCCTTTAAGCAGAGTTGCTAATATGGAACCCTTACATATATACCCAATACTAAGCTAAAGCTAACCCTGTTTAAAATTCTGGTTCATGGAACATTCTGGAACAAACAAAAAACAGTCCAATAACTAAGAAATCCGTTAATGATAGGTTAACAAAGACACTCAATGACTGAATGTCTGAAACAGCATTAAAGTCAGCACCTGCACAGCACCATCATACAAGCACTTCTCATTGCTCATCTAGGAAACTGTCCTTTAAATGAGATATTCTGATGCTAAGGGGAAGGCCCAAAGTAGCATTTCCAGTTTCCCTTTTTCCCCTCTAATTTTGAAGGTGCTTCTCTGGGCTTTCTAGGTTTTTGCTTCCTTCAGAGGACTCTGGTTTGGCCATTATGATAGTATTGGTTCCAGGAGCCTCTGGCTGCTTATCACCACCGTCAAAGATAATGTCTTCTGGGTTTGGAGGTGGGGGGCAGAAGTCTTCACCTGGAAGGATCTCGTGGAAAAGAGCTTCAGCTTGCTTGACCGCATGCTCACTCCCCAGTCCACAGTCAGGCCCAGAGCAGACATAGATGTTGGCAGGTAAGCCCTTATAGGAGCTCCTGCTGACCCCCGAGGAATCTCTCATGTTAAAATAAAGCGCCCACAAGAGTCTTGGCTTTGCAAGTTCTTCGTTGCCTATTTCTGCCTCAGCATAAGGGATGAACAGTTTCTCCACCACCGGTTCTAAGTCTTCTCTTGCTGTTTTAGATGACAAACAGGTCAGATGTACCAGGTAGGTGCCTTTCATGCATGTCATGGTTGAGGAACATAACTCAATAACCCGAATGGCGCTCGCTCCTGGTTCCGCTGGAGGCACTGTGAGAATGGAGATCTGCTGATCTGAATCTGCCTTTAGCACGGAATGATCTGTAATGAGCACTGCCCTGGAGACCTGCTTATACTGCGCATCTGAGCATGTGTCCTTGGGAAGGAAACTATCCTCCACAATAAAATGCTTAGCATTTATTCTCTGACCGAAGTGATCTATAATTGCTTTACATCTCCCAGATTCTTTGTCAACTACAAGGCATTGTACTTTATGGCGAAGGCAATAGATTCCACCAAAAACTGCACACATCCTGCAGAAACACTGGGGGATTTCTCCTTGGCCATACAAGGGAAACAAAAACGGAGTGTTGCCGTACCGCCCAAGACACTGGAGGAAGTGTTGTGTTGCTTTCAGGCCATCTATTGTGGAGCAGGACGACTCTGTCATTGCGATTGAGTGCAGGACAAAATGCTGGAGGTTGGGGGTTAGCTTTTTAGTTTTTAAGTACTCTGAAAAGGGACACTGCATAAAATCCTGGTACTCATCAGGATGTTGTTCGTAGTCTAAGCAAAATGTAAGAAACTTCATTAGCATTCTCTTTTCCACCATAGTGAGCTCTTTGCTATTAAAGACATCTGCTCTGGAACAAGGCACCTGCTCTACCTTCCCTTCTCGAAACGCAAGGATCCTAGTGACACTTTTAAATTCAGCATAACGACTAACATTGGATTTGATTAAAAGATCAATTAGCGATCCTTGAGAATACAGAAGCTTTGATACCAAGTCAATATTAAACCTCCTGCCTTCTTTTACTATTTGAGGGTAAGTAATCCTATTTTTCTTTGGGTGAACAGTGTTGTCTTCTACCACAGGTTTGTTTTCATCTTTATCTCCATCTGAAACTGTGGGTATAGAAATAGTATCTCCACAATATTTTTCTTTCTCCTGAGTTTCCGCTATATCAGTTGCTTCTGGTAAACTTTCTCCATCATGTGTTGGAGTGTCTTTGGCAGGCATTTCATGGCTAGTAACATATGAATGTGCTTCTTCAGGTAGGCATGCAGAATCCAGAGGTTTACTAGGGGTACTAGATGCTACCAAGGAAGGATTTTTCTGCAAAGCATCAATCTCTTCAATATTGTCATCCTCACTGGCATAACAGAACACTTCTGGGTGCTGTATGGTTTCATTCTTCCCACAAAGAGTGATGGCTTCTTCTGTCTCATGGATCAGGTCTTGCCATGCAGCAGTACTTTCGTCCCCTGTGTCACTGTTTTGCTGACACTCCTTCAACCAGGAGAGCAATCCTGAAAAGGTGAAACTAGCCCAGTTTCCTCCATAGTAACTTCTCGAATCAACATGTAGAACTCTCTGACCACTTCTTGAACACGCAGCTGCAAGGATGGATTCAGGCAAACCTGTCCCTATAACAACCACATCAAACTCTGTAGGGAGACTGTCTGCCATCCTGGAAGGCAAAGTGTCTGGTGACAACTGCCAATGAAGGAAACGTGTATGAATCCAGGCTGAGGGCTCAGATGAGGTGTGAATGTGCTGTAATAAAATCTCTCCTTGTCATGTCCCAGGTCATCCCAGAAGCATCGAGGTTGCAGGTCCTAGCTGTAGTTACCCTTTTTTAGTGTTTTGTTTTTTTCTTATAGGTCAGCAGCATAAAGACATGATAAAGTACATCTAATCACATCTGAGAATACTAAAACAGGTGTGTGGCTTTCATTTCTGCATGTCATCTTAGCAGTACATGTCAAAATGCATCACATATGCATTTGTGACCGGAACTCTTCTGCGAAAGAAAATTCAAGAAATACAATTGTAAACAATATTAAGAGACAAGTAATTTCTTGCAACAGTAATTACAATCCATAGAAGCCTAACTTGTTATCAGGACAAGCCTCGACTAAACCAAGTCATTAAATACTTTCTCACATATTTTTTAATTTCTTAGAAATGAACAAGAGATACTTCCCCAAATCAGGCAATTCAATAATGAATGGATATAATGTCCCACAAAAATAAAGAATATAATACAATTCTGTAACTCCTGCTTTTAAGAAAACTAGTATTTGAATAAAACTGTACATGACTGTGAGCTTAGACTCTAAGAAATGTGTGGTTCCACTGTGCTTGTGGAAACAGACTACACACAATGAGCACATTGTCATGATGAGGAATATCCCAGGCCCAATACAGTCTGTGGGTGATTCTAGGACAGATGCATAGAAGACTTTTCCATACCCCATCCACCCTCAGGATCTTGTGGTGGAACCATGAGACTACTTCAACTGAATTAACCAGATTACAAAAACATTGATTCAGTAAAACAAGTGGCATTTTAAAATATTTAAGTGTATAAAAGGTCTACTGAAGGGAAAGCGTATTTCTAACAAGTCTTCATATGAATGTACATATGTGTGTTGTGTTTTTTAGGTGTAAGTTAAGGGAAATTCCTGGGTTCATATGTTAACATATCTTAACATAAATAACACCTACTTCTAACATTTGAATAAGGGTGACTTACATTTTGCCAGATCCTGGCTCTGTGATCCTGAACCTTGGTCTTCCGAGATAAAGGTTTAAATATCCTCTGTCTATACATTAACGTGTTGTTTGTTGTTTCTGAATGGCTAGGAAGTGGTAGCTTTGGGCATAACACTGGTTATATTTCATGTGGAGAACACCTGGGTGGCCCCACGTGTGGCCAGAGGTAGGGCAGCCACGAGGGTGAAAGGTATACTCACCTGGAAGTCTTCAGGCTAAAGAATGACACATGCTAGGGGGACTTGGTATCATCCATCATTGCACAGCAAGAGTGAGAGCTCTCTGAGCTCTGATTTTCCCCAATATTAAACTTACTAAAATCTAGAGCAGTACAAACTGCTAGCACAAACCTGCCCAGGGTGAGATGACTAATTATCTAGGCCATCTGGAAAACAAGTCATTCCATCAGAATTTCAATTGACTAGTTCACTGAACTGACTGGTTAGTTTCAGTGGCATAGCCGTCTTAACAGTCTTGTCTAGTCAAAGCCTCTGCCTCCGAGTGTTAGGGACTCCGCTTGTGACATTCCCTGAGAAACCAGGAATTAAGCACAGAAGGGAGTGCTTGCCTGACCCTTTCATATATGCATATGTGTGTCTTGATTATTTATTCCGCCTTCTTCCTGTAGGGCGTGCAAAAGACAAACCCCATGAGAGTCTATGAAGAAATATAAGCACACACCGTGAATAAGGGATAGGGCTGAGGGTGGGAGCAAGAGAAGACGACACTAGCCCTAAGTGCTAAAACCAGGCACCTTCTAACCTGCGACTATCAAACGCGCCCTCAAAATACACGGCACGTAGAAAAGACAACATTAAAGATGATTTAGTTCAATTATCCCATAATAGAGGTATTATGATGGCTGAAGCGATTAAGTGAAGGCAAAGTGCACACCGTGGGTTAGCCACAGGGTCAAGAGCAGGACCCATGCTCAGGCCATCAGGCCAGTGGTCTTTCCACATGACAGAGCCTCTAAAAGCAAGCAACCACGTTAGGCATTTTCCATTTCCTCCCCTTCAGTGCTCCCTGGTTGGTCAGTCCTTGCCCAGGGATGACAAAGGAAAAAGCAACTTCCCTTTCCCCATCTTTAGCTCTTATCTAGAAGCACAATCCTTAGAACTGACGCCAGGCAGAGAAATTCTTAATCTTTGCTAAGAATTTTTAAAGTCCCATTCTAACCCCACTACTGACTTTGTCTCCCAGGGCTTAAACAAGTCTTAACCTCTTACCCCAGAGTTTCCACCTCTAATTCACAAGCAGATAGCAGCGGGTGAAAACACTATTTAACTGCCCAGAGAGATAAAGCCGTCACTGGGAAAAAATACCATGTGGTGAACGTTTCTAGCAGCCTTGGAATAGCCCTTCTGATTGGGATGGGATCCCAGGAGGGACCAAGAGTGAAAAGGGACAGCAGAGAGGAGAAAGGGAAGGGTGGAGTCGCAGAGGGAAGATGTGAGGAAGAGGCTGGATGGTGGTCCTAATAAAAGGAACTGAAGCCCCTGCTGAGTTGCTCAGTTGGCTGGAACACTGTCCTGTACACCAAAAGGGTTTTGCATTTGGTCCTGGGTCAGGGCAAATACCGGAAGCAACTGATCAATGTTTCTCTCTCTCTCTCCCACTTCCCTTCCTCTCTCTTTAGAATCAATAAACATATCCTCAGATGAGGTTTAAAAAAAAAAGAACTCAATAAACTCTTGTTTCCAAACTCCCAGGCTCAGAGTCAGCATAGAAATAGAATTTCCTAGCACAGAAAAGGCCCTTCTTAGAAGTAAGAACTTTCGGGTCTGTGACCAAACACCCATTGCTCGTTCTAGGGAGCATAACTGATGATGCTCTAGGCTTGAGCTTGAATCACTCACGTTAAAGCTTAGCCCTGCCTAAAAAAAAAAAATAATAAAGTAAAATAAAAATTGCCTGATCAGTATTTTAAATAAACACAAGGAATGCAATCACATAGCCACCTATCCCACCACCTACATACACTTACTGCCCTCCCAAGTTTCAACTCTGTACAGATGAAATTTTCAGATTAATGTTTATTGGGGAGGGAAAAGGCATTATTATTAGAATAATGGAATCGCTGAAAAAAATCAAACGACAAGGGTGCTGAGATTCAATGATGACAGGACAGTTTCTTCAATAAATGGTGCTGGGAAAACTGGATAGCCACATGCAAAAAAAATGAAGTTGGACCCTTCCTGTACACCATATATATATATAAATTAATTCAAAATGGTTCAAACCTATGCTACAAAGTGTGGATCTGTCTTTATCAAAGTATACCAATACTTCCCTGGAGTAGAAACCTCTATAAAATTTATAAGACAAAGAATTTATGCATTTTTAATTGAGCTAAGTAATGCAGAATTGCCCTCCAAAAAAACCCCCTCATATTGTATTAAGTTGCATTCTTATTAACAGAGCTGGAAAGAACCTTACTTTCCCCCATCTTTGCCAGGACAATTTTCCCCCCAGCCTGACAGATACAAAACGGCATCTGAAAAAAAAAAAAAGAAAATTGTTCTCATTGCTGTTCTAACTTGCATTTTCCCTGATTCCCTTCTGAGCCTGAGTAATCTTTTTACATTTATTAGCTACTTGTATTTCTTCTCTGAATTACCCATCATATAATTTGTTCAGCTTCTCACTGGACTGGATGGCTTTATGCATTGGTCTGTAGAGACTGTGCGTGCACCAGACATTAGGACCCTGTTAAGCGTGTATTATAAATAGTTTATCCCAATCTGTCATTTGTCTTTTAACCGTCTCTCATTCTGCAGAAGCTTTTATTTCTAGGTACTCAAATCGGTCATTTGCTTTCCTTTTAAAAAATTCTTTTGAGTTTTTTTTTCAATTGTTAGGACTTTATATATTACATTAAACTTTTAATCTATCTTGTGTTTCTCTTTGTATGCAGGGTGAGATAAATTACTTTATTTCAAATAACGAGTTAATTGTCCAAAAGCCACGTCTTTAATAATTTTGTCTTTCCTCCAACTAATCTGAAATGCCATCTTTGTAACATACCAGATCCTCATTTCTGCATGGATTTGGTTCATAATTCTCCTTCTAGCATCATACCATTTTAGTTACTAAAGAGTTGCAATATAATATATTTTGCTGTGTGATAATGCAAATATTTTCTCCTCACTTTTTAAAACTTTTTCTTAACCATTCTTTCATTTTTCAACTTTCCCAATAAACTTAAGAATGAATTTTCCATTTAAAAACAACAACAACAAAAACACCTGCCAAAATAAAACAGTAATAAAATATCAATGGATTTCAGGATTTTTTTAAAAGGAACTTTAACACCTGAAAAATACATATTTTTCAAATTGTTCCTGGAGCACACACACACAAAGATCATTTCTCTCCCAAGCTTAGAAAATCACATCTTCAATGATATGCGGAGTGGATCACCCTTTCAAAAGGTCAAGCCCCAGTGGGACTTGAAGCTTCCATGAGGATTAGGAGTATTTTTTGAAATAAATGTTCACTAACAAACGAGTCCTACTTTAATGAAACCGACTGCTGCACAGCTAGCTTTCTGGTCACCTGGGCTGGGGTTCCCCAGCCATCTGTGAGCTCCTTAGGCTTTGGTGCTGGGGTGTCTAAGGAGGGAATTACAGTAAGAAGAGCTCCCAGGGCACACGCGGGTTTGCATCCCGGCGGCCTGAAGGAAAGACCTCGCCGCCCGCATTCCCAATGGCTAATGCACGTTCTTGTTTAAACCACACGTTGCTATTCTGGGAGGCTTCTGCCCTCCGACTTTCTCGAGGTCCCTTTCGTTCCTGAATCTGACTCTAGAGTCCCTCGTTTCTTCCCTCAAAGTGTAAAGGGCGCCGTTCCGTGCCTGCTGGATGACACCGGGCAGGAGGCGAAAACAGAAATGAGGTGAGCGGACAGCGGCGGGGCGGAGCCGCGGAGAAGCCGGGGCTGACGGTGGGCGGGGCGCAGGGGCCACGGGACGGTGGAGGCGGGCGTGGGGCGGGCAGAGCAGGAGGAGGGAGCAAGGGGCGCCCGGCTGCCTGGGTCCCGGAGCCGGAGGGGAG